ATAAAATTTCAACTACGTGAAAGAAAAGCAGGATATCGCTGCGAAGCAAGCTGAAAGTACCATCTGGCAGGGTAAATTGCTCGTTCTATTGGTAGCTAGTGAACTTTGAGAATTAGTGAGGAAAAAGGACTTGGTCAAACTTTGAGCATTAGTGGGGAAAAAGGACTTGGTCGAACTTTGAAAAGATGAGGGGTTTGCGTAATATTAGATACATGCCAGTTACTCATGCGATGCGCTCGTTAGTGGTATCGCTGTTCGATGTCAAAATTTCGGATGATTTAATTTTCGAAAAAATTTTGCTCGCGTTGACACGTACACCTAATATATGATCAAAACCGAAAATTATCGTAATTTTCTATAAGGGGAAATAATGATTTTTTTGCAGTTTCTTTCAGTTCGCCAGCATAAATCCTAAAACTTGTATGAAGCCGGAAAGACGCCAAAAAAGTGAGATTTTTTGGAAAGTTATCAGCGATAAAATTATAGTAATGCCATCAGAGCGCTGCGAACGTTTCGTTGCGTATTCTGCATGTAATTCCATCGTTCCAGATCGTGCAGTGCGCGTCGCCGTCTTGACAGTGAGCCCTGTCCTTTTCCTTTTTCGCCGTCTACAGATCGCTTCTTCTTCTTTCCGCAGCAGCAGCAGCTAAAATTATTGAATGTAGCAGCTATACAGAGAGTGTATTTTCCGACTTGAGGATTCACGACTACTCGAAAAAGTAGAAGTGTCGTACCAGCAGCAGCAACAACAGCAGCATCCACAGCAACTGCGTTTTGAACGAGCCAGTGCGGTGATGTTGCCCATTCCCATGGTTTCGTTGAGCGGGGTAAATTCAGTGCTCTCAATCATCGGATCGTCCATCAGAAACGGATCGTACTTGCTCATTGGGATAGCGTAGCAGACTGCGGCCACTACTGCTAGCAGTACCAGTATCTGGTACAGCAGCGCTGATGAAGAGATTCGCACTGCGAACATCTTCAGCACTGAAAGTATGTGCTGGAATTCGAAACTTAATCATCTTCGTCTGTAGCCTCATTCAACTTTCCAAGCGTGGCTTTTTAGCCAATCTCAGGTCAGTGAAACGTGGCTTTTTAGCCAATCTTCGATCAGTGATACGCGGCGTAAGCACTTACTAAACTGGAATATTAAATGTCCTCATCTTTGATCCCGAATCTTTTCATTGCATAACGTTATTAGTACATTTGGCAAATATGAAAATAGTATATCGTAAAAAAAACAGGTTTTGAGTGAAGAGATTTTTTTTTTCTACCCCTCTACACCTCTCTCAAGATTCATGCATGCCCATTTGGGGAAATTGCCAACTGTTGGGTTTACTAAGTAGTACTTTCACAGCCAAGTGATGCGTTAGTGCTTCTCAGAGAGTGGGATACTGTGTCATCCCCGTATGACCGAAAAAAAAGAAAACGAAAGAACAAAGGAACTACATAATCAGTGAAATGCAATCAGATTCAAGTGGATCAGTAGGAGAATGATGAATGAAATGATCTAAGGCAGAATTGAGATAGAATGACTACTAGAAGTTTTTGAAAAAGTTTGTTTCACTGAAAATGCCAGTATGATTTTTCAAATGCGGTTCTCTTGTATTCAGATGTTCTGTATTTGAAGAAAATATGACGAAAAAAAAATGAAAGAAAAAATGTACCTCTTTTTGTACCTCCTGTACCTCCTTACCCTTCAAAATAAATTTGCTAAATTTGGACCAGTGACTTACATGAAAAATTGTTTTCTTTCAATGAAGTAATGACATAAAATTTTTCAGTCAAGATTTATATTTTTACGTGAGCTAATTTTTGCCGTACAGCATAAAATTCCAAAAAGTCCTACTTCTTTTGAGCATTTTTTTGAACAGAAAAAATCGTAGTACTAGATCAACAGTGATGGGGAAATGAGGAAGCCCAGTTCAGCTTAATCCGATACCATGGCTTTCGGGAAACTAGGACACAGGAAACTAAGTGTCTAAAAGACAGTTGTGATAAAGTAAGAAAATCCGAGACGTCAAAGGTTGATATCAATCTGGCAGCAGAACTGGGAGCGCAATTGCGCTTTGTGTCGTTTGGTTTCCCGGAAAACAAGCGAACCGCGAGTTTTCACTCGTTTATAAATGAACTGCTTTGGGAGTACTGTGTGTATGTGCGTATGCGTTGTAAAGTTTGAAATTTTTGATTTTTAATTTCCCGTAAGTTCATTACATAGTGGTTATTGTTGTAAACAAGAGAAGTGCGCTAACTAGCAGCCAACAACGTGCACTGCGCCCCTCACCCGCAACTTACCGAACAAGTTTCATCATTTTATTTACACTTTGTATTCCACCATCCAGCATTTCATACTCTTCGAAAAAGCAAACATTTTCCTGAAAAGTTTGCTTCACTTCATGAGAAAACAACACACGAAAAGTTGCCGTTGTGCTACAACTGAAATGATGCCCTCTCTGGCTTTCAAATTCAGCATCACGCTGAGCAACACTAGACTTACTTCAACGAGGCAGGATGGTCACTGGTGTAGATGTAGGCAGGAAACATCCATACCTGCTAATACCAGAATCGCCTGCGTCAAGGTCTGAAAAAATAAAACTCAGTGCTCGTCGAGGGAGCCACACGATTATGCATTTTTAAAGCAGGTCGCTAAGAACGCCCAGTTGGCGAATAAAGCTAATATTTAGTGCAGATTTTCATGATGATCATGTAGTAGGCTCAGTGCACGTCAGACACCGAAATTAATCTCAAGTTGGACTGATTCAGAAATTTAATTTCAATTTTTGAATCCGAACAGACCTTGGCTTATGTCCAGTTTAAAGCAAATTAAAGCAAATTTGCAATTGCACTTCATTTGTTTGACGGTTCATGTCTATACATGCAAAGAAATGAATTGTAATAGCTGAGAGAGGAGGAGAGAGGGGGGAAGAGTTAATTTTCGTAGTGAAGAGACTAATAACCAGGGAGAGACAACAAAAGTATTTCAAGTTTCTACCTCACAGCGATTCAAGAGAATAGAAATGAGCAGAGTTTTCGCTTTTACGGACTTATTTTGCCCGGCGAATGAAAAAAATTGCGTCAGGGGTTCAATTCTTATAAAGCAGTCAGGGCGCTCACAACCTATACAACAGCTTTATCTACCGGACAAAGCTTTTTGAGGAACACATTTTTGTGCCGACTTTCTGCTATTTATCTTAAAAAGTAAAAGTGCCGCTATGTTATTGTTTAAAAAGTTTACAAGCGTAGTGAAGTTTGTTTGTTACAAGTGGGGATGTTGTGTAAACAGAGTATACAGCCTCACAGCCACTTCACGCAACCGTAATCTTTTTTGAATAATAAGA